AGCAGCACACACCCACAATATCAACAGTAGCTATGCCGCGGAATGTGAAAAATATTAGCCTGTTCTTTACTTTCACATGCCACGCTACCCAACATCATTGAAATGTGCTGCTACTTGCTGCTTGCTTCCATTTAAAGTTTAAAGCAACCAACAAACATTAAGAGAGAGAGAGAGAGAGAAAAAAAAAGAAGAAAACTTATAAGCGCTATACGCAAACAGCTTAAGATGTTGAGGTAACTGGAAAATAATGTGTTAGCGAACGGAAATGCCAGACTAGCAGAATAGTTGATGGCGTAGGGAATGCATGCATCTGCACAATTTTTCATCTTTCAAAGCCTACAAAAAAGTGTAAAGAACAAGTACCACTAAGCGAGACACCAGGCAATAGAGATGACATAGCTTCAAATATCTTTTTATATATCCCCACCACCACACCCAATAACCGCTATCACCGCAATGACAGTGTTATGCCTTGCAAAACACTCTTCGCTTTAACGTCTTCTTCTCTGTTTTCGCCCTAGCGAAGAAAAGTTTTTTTTTTTTTTTTTTTTTTTTTTTTGCAAAATTTGTTTGGTTCATATTTTCTTTTATATGAATGGACAATTTTATTGTAACCGACTACGTTACCTAACGAACAAAAGAGAAAAGGAAAAACCCATGCTTACGTAACAATTTTTTAAAAAGTTTCTTTTTCGCGTTTCTTGCACAGCATTTCCTTTCGTCTTTCGTTAGCATGAAATTTAAACTAACCGTAAACTATGATAAATTCATAGCGAACATAAATCTTGTTCCATGACCATCGCTTAAGTGCACATCTGCAAGTTTAAAGAGAACAAATTAACATTAAGTTTATGAGTTAAGAACATACAGAAAAGCCTTTTTCCAAGCCTGGCACAGCATAAACTCAATCGTCGCCTATTCAGTAACAAATTTTCTTACAATTAAAATAATTTCTTAAAGTTCCCAAAGATATTCTTCAATATAATTTTGCAAATATCTCAAAAAAAAAAAAAAAAACAATTGCTTTCTTAATTACATAAAAAATTCATCAAATTGTAAAGGAAAACTCATAAAAACACTTTTTTCATACCTTTGCTAAAAATTAGAAAAAAAGAATACTTTTCGTTTATTTACAAAGAATATTTATTGTGAACAATACACATGCATACACACACACTTGCACATGCATAATACTGTCAAGGAAGTGATGGGACTGTCAAGGAAGTGATGGGAATTGAAAGTAAATTTTTTATATCAGATGTTAAAAGCAATACGACATATAATATCCATGTGTTGTCAAGAAAGTATCGGTACTGGTCTATTCAAGAAAGATCAGAGGCTCCACATTCAGTATATATATTCTTAATCAGCGTCAAATTCTGAATGGATTTAACTATGTCCGCCTGTATAAGATCTGTTATAAACATTCTCCCGCTCGCAAAGAGAAAGGAAGGAAAGGACAACTCTACAATACTACTTAAAGTGAGAACACCTCTGATCTCTGAAAAGGAATGAAAGATTGGTTTTTTGCTCATTACTCATAAACTGCAGCAGATAGTTCTACAAAAATTTGAACATATATTCTATGAGTGATTCTGTACTACCTGCACAAATTGAGGAGGCCTGTTCAATATTATAGTGGACGACAATTTAATATTTTCGTTTAGTAATTTTACGCACAGAAACAAGCTGCAAAAACCTTGTTCGGAATGCACTTCAGTATTTTTGTCCCTTCATCCGTCTGTCCATCCGTTCATCTGTCTATCTGTCCGTGTACGCAATCGTGTGGTATATGTGGTAAATGTTCTCCCCTCCGTAAAGGTGACGATATCGTCAATAAATTTGGAAAGCAGCCTAAACCGGTCAAAGGATATGCCTACAACGCCCACACGTCTATGAAAAAAAACTGTGAATACCTTTGCTTGTCATGTTTTTTGCTAGTTACCCATAAAGTGGTGTGTATAAAAGATTCAAGGACTGAACATAGTATTCTTATTTGTTTAATGATGGGATCAAGATAAGCGTTCGCTCAAGTGCGTCTTTCTACTTATGGTTTGAGTTGTAACAGAGAAATTTTGAGTTTCGTATAAAATACCGAAATTACGAGTTGATTGAGAAATGTTTAAAAAAACCTACGTTAACGGTATTCTATGACAATATATAGCCATTGAGGTGACACGAAACATTCAAGATTGGCCCTCAAATGCAGGGATGAAAGCTATCTTTACTCCGATCGAGAACTTATTTCATCCAATGAAGGAAAGAGGGTAAAATCATAATCGTGGTTTTGGAAAAATGTGTCTTGTGGCTGTGTGTGCACGACATGTTCATTGCATTCCAAAAAATATATTCTGCATCTGACTAAGTCTTCTATGAAACTTCATGTATAGTGGAATCTTTTTGAACATTTTATATTCTTTTACGTACCATAAGGCAAGTGATTTTGCCATTTCTAAATGGCTAAAGCATCTACCGAGAGCCCTAGTCCTTATATTTCTTTAACATATGCCGTTATATTTCGGAAATGGTCACTTTACTAATAACTTTTCTTATTAAGTTCATAAAGCAATTTCAACATTTCCAAGCATTTTGAGAATTTAAATGCAATTTGATGCACTTCTGTTTAAAAATTCCGGTATGATGTAAAAAGCAAAATTATTAGTTTTTTTTTTTTTATGTTTATTGTATCCTAAGTCGCCCTTGTGTATTTCATAAACATCAATTTATGAGAGATTACTTGTAGAATAACTTAACATTTTTAAGATTCATCGAAAAGTTGAGTAAATAAAACACGTTTAATATTTTGAACATAAGTCATTAAGTTTTAATCTAAAATTGTTCATTGATGTACAGGAAAATGTTTGCAGTTTTTGGCTGCCAGCCTAAAAACATGCTTATCTTCTATCTCTTTGTCTACATATATCAAGCAAATACCACTTTAAGCATTATGGCAACCATACGCTCAGATCTAAAGTGATATGAATGGACATCTCGCTTACGTACGTGTGGAACTGAAGTTGTGTCCATGTGGCATATGCATTGCACCAATCATTCGCAATGATATGTGTTGTTAAGCTAACATTCAAGTGTTGGAACGAAGCATGCATACATACATAGATGAATATTGTTCATTATTTTTTTTGTTTTTCGTTTCCCTCATGATAACACATTTGAAAATGTGCAAAAAACGTAAAATATAACTCCTTTTTCTTCTCTTCTTCTTTTTTTCATTTTTTTTTTATTTTTTTGCTATTGTTTGATACGAAATACTGCCTGTCAGTCATTATCACGACACATGACTCAAGTGTATAGGATTCTCAGTACTTAACTCAAATTGAAGAGCTATTAATAATGCTTAGAGAGCATTTTTAAGTCTATTATATATGTGTATATATCATGTGCACAGAGAGCGAGAGAGAGAGAGAGACAGATAGAGATAGAGAGAGGAAGCCAGAAAAAGGGAAAGAAAAAGAAATGAACAACAGTATGTGTCAGAAATTACCATAATTTGAAGTTAAATATGAATAAGAAGAAGAAGATATCTTTTTAATTATATTTTCTATTTAATATGTACATGAATCCTTACTATCGACATATGATACAAAAAAAAACAACATTTATGTCAAAAGTTTTATGAATTTACAAACAAATGAAAGCTAATAGATGTACATTTTGGAAAAAATACATCAAATTTAAGAGAAGTATTAGCAGAGTTAAAAAACTTTTTGCTGTAGTTGCATACGCATATGATTGACGTTAACGTTGTTTATTGAAAAGAGAAAATCTCAGTTAGACTTGTAATATTATTAGCATTATCCATCCTTCCAGAGAGTCTCCCCTGCTGATCCACAAAGTTATTGTAAAAGAATGGAAAGACGAGTATCATGTTTTAGTTAGAGATAAAAGTGCCCGGCTTTTTAACTAAAGGAAAATTTGCAACATGGGAATTTAAAATACTTCATAGTAATCACACTTATGACAAGGTATACTTCAAAAAGATTAAAGTGCCGTTCACTGATAATTGCGAAGAACGTAACATTGCTGAGTCTGCCGAACATCTAATTTTTGATTGCAGAAGGTTTGACATCCTTAGATAGTCTTTCAGTATGTTTAGCCTTTAAAACAATTTATATGAAATTTTTCGTGCTAGGAACTTTACGCATCTTAAGCAGCTGACTGCCTTTATCAAATCAGCTGATTTCTCTTTCTAATCTTCTATACTCATAATTTTGCTCATATATACAGATCACCTATACTTTTTTCTTTTCCGGCATTATTAGCCGGGATTTCGACTGTACCGTGCCTTATGGGAATAACTGCGGAACAGTACATTACCTGTTTAACAAGCATAAGCACCACATTTAAAAAAAAAAGAGCGCTCACAACACCTTCGCTCATAAGTCCTTTATGGAAAAAGGTTGCGACCACTTTTTGGACGGGTTTCGTAGATGGTAGCATGGCTGGGAAAACTGCATAGGCTTACAAGGAAACTATGTAGAGAAATAAAAATCAATTTAAAGAAAAAATGTCTTGTTACCTTGTTAAGTCTTTAACTATTCAATCAGCCCTCGTGTAATGAGCGCCTATTTATTATTTCGCAAAAATTGCCGTCATGAGCACTTTGAAAAATCGATCGTAAATAACACAAAAAGACAGGGCATAGTGTCATATCCCGTCAGACTGTGAATACCTAAATATCTTTTGCATTATCATAGGATCGAAAGACTATACATATTCTTTGCTAAGGGTAGATCTTATATAAAAATTCATTAACCAACAGAGTACGTAGTACATACTATAAATATTAAATTTAATGAATCTTGAAAGTCTTGAATGAAGAGCAACAACAAGCGATGAAAGCTGATTATCAAGAACTAATTGATTGATAAGAGAATAGAATCGAAAGAAAATGAAAAACAATATCTCTTATTATCCCGAAACTCTATTCTTATACGAATTTATTTATAATTTTTTTTTCTCTTCTCGTTTCTTTATTACAGTTCATCAATTTTCATTACAATGTTATTGACAAACCATACAACAAACACTGAGCCTATAATTTTTGCCTATTTGGCAATGATACATCAGGTAAGACATACCCACCTATACTCTGATTTATATCTGTTATTAAGATGAGGCTAGGAATGTTATGTTGGCCATCGTTTAAGAATGATGTAAACCATAAAAAACTTCTCAGTGTTTAAGTGTATGCGCATTTTATGTATTCATAGCTGTTACTGATGAATGTGTTTATAGCTCTTATCTGTTCCTTTTCCTCAAATGCTTTCAATTGTTTTGAACAGCTCTTGCACACTTTTTGTATACATAGATTGTTATTGAGCTCTTCATACGACAACATCTGGTTTAATGGATAAGTGTATATGTATTTTATATGAAGATATATAGAAAAAATTTTATTTCATTGATTTACTTCATCGATATAACGGAAATCCAATAAACAGTTTTGTTTTTGCGTTTCCCTTTCGTTATATACTCATTCACTCTATCCTTAAATGAAAGGATCCGTATTCATGATAATCGAAAACACAATGAATGAATTCTTTATCAATAGATAGATATTCTTGTTGTTTCAGAGTTACTGTTACAAATAGAAGCCTTTTTCATTATTGTAAACATCGTTTACATTTCTGCAGTCACTCATTCTCTTCTAGAGTGACAAACTGACATTTGAATTCATTCCGGTACCATTCCAAAATACATTATATTTATTGTCAACTTTATTGCTTTATTTATCTCAAATTCGATAAAACACAACATTTGTTTTAATCCTATAGATAGTTATAGGTAAGGAAATTTTATTTAGATTCTTCTTAACGCAATAAAGTGACGTCTCCAGAAGCAAATGTCCTTTTAATCTGCCGAGATCCTTTTTCGAACTCGTCGACCATGGTGACTACTATCGGGAGACCCAGACGTTGGATGAAGAATGAAACGAAAGCTATAGGATGTAGAAGCGAAGACTATTAAGGCAATGCATATTTCCCTGCCAAGTTGCGTTCGGGTTCTCCTTCTTCCTTCAGACTCTATGGATTCATCGTCGTATGCCTCCTTAGTTGGAATATACATTTTACTTCGATATGTCAATTCATTTGACCTCCCACTGTGAAGTAAATTTCCTTAAGAAAGACAAACTTTGACCAATCCATAATGTAATATGCACTATGTAATGGCTAGCATTATTTATGTTAAATTTCAATTATAGAATTTCGAAAGTATAGACATCATAGTATTAATTACTAATTTTGCTATGGCACCTAAATTGTCTTTACGTCCATACATTTATGCAAATGCTGTCAGGAAAGTGCGGGCAATCGGCAAAAAAAGCCTCAAGTTTTCATCAATCTACGTAAACTCTTTAAAAATGGACTACATTTAAATCGAGACACTTAGAACGACATCTAACCAATTGCACGTTCAGTTAACATGATCTTTGAAATATTCCTTATAGACTTAAACTTGGTTAAACCGTTTCTTCGATATTTTCGATATTTTTGTTTGTGTGATTTCAATCAAGTTAGTCGGAGCTAATTTGAATTCGACTAACAAGCAAATCCTTTGCTCGGAGATGTTTGTCTTTAGTGCTTAGATATCTTTCGAGTTTGTGGACGAAAATTCTTCTATTCCCACCATAACATTCTACACCACGACTTATCCTTTATTTATTAGTTGCCAAAATTGCTATGACCAATAAAACTTTTCGAACTCTCTCTCACTCTCAATTCCGATGATGATTTTGCAATATTTTTTTTTAAATTTAAAGAAGTTAAAGTTTATATTCTATCAAAGTTTTTTTTAGAAGAAAATCGATTTCCTTCTAACTGAAAGGAATTATTAATAATAATAAAAAAAGAATGAAAAATTTCATAATTATGATGGAAAATTGGCCAAATCAAAAATTTCAACGGAAATAATAAACACCATAGTTTCGCCTAAAAGAAGGCAAAGAAAATATTTATAGTTTTTCCTAAAAGCAGGCAAATATTTTTTTGCATATATATATATTTTTTTTTTTTTAAAGTATCTTTACTATGCATTCTCTAACTTGCGAAACAAAAGTTAACTCCCCGTTATGAATTTCTAATTAAATTTTTTACTTTACCAAGTTTCCAAATTTTTCATTTAAAAGATTCACTAACTTCGTTTGTTTTTTATTTCCTTTTTTAAAAAAAAAAAAAACAGCATAAACTTGCTCTATAAGTTTTCTGTATAATGAAATTACTGAAATTCTTCTTCATTTTTAATACAGTTTTAATAAGTTTTTCTTGAACAATTTCCAAAAAATCATTTGCAGATCAACTCAACTATGTACGTTCGTTTGTATATCCATTTGTTTGTTTATTTGTTTGATTGCTTGTTTGTTTGTTTGTGTGTTTGTTTGCATGCATTTGTTCCATTTTAATCGGGCCGCACAATTCAATTACGAGAAGATGATTTTGACGTTTTACCAGAAACAAACGAAAAATTGCCTTGAAAAACTTTTCCAAACACTTCGAAAACAAAGCCAGAAGTGATGTAACAAAAGAAATGAAGGACAAAGAAAAATAGAAAATAGAAAAGAAAAATATGTAAAGAATGCTTGAGCCGGCAAGTTTTACCAATCAAAAGTTACAATCCAACCAATATTATCCTTTTCTGCACAGCGTAGTCGTTTTTCGCTGTTTCTTCCTTTCTTTCTCTTTCTCTTTCTCTTTCTTGTTTTTTTTTTTTTTTTTTTTTTTTTTTTCATTTTCCAGTTCCCTATGTTTGTTACTTTTTCATAGTCTTTAACCTTAATCAACTATAGAGTGTTTTTTTGCCTACACAAAGATTTAACAAGTCGGAGAAAGATTTGATGCATATATGTATGCTTGTGCATGCACCTAGAACCTTATGTATCCGAGTAAAAGAAGATAATTTTGCAAATATTGCTCTTTGTGTTCATTGTAACCGCATAAACAAAGATACATCATCCGAAAACATTGTACATGCGTATGTTCGGAAACAATACATACAAAAATTCAGACATAAAGTCAGTCACCGTTACTCTCGTTACTAACAAAGCTTGGCACAAGAGACCAGAACACTATAATGGATATAATCATAAGTAACAACAATAACGGTACGAAGAAAAAAAAAAAAAAATGGAAAAAAAAAAAACAGAAGACAGGAAAATAAAACAACACAGAGCGCACAAAGATGACAATAATAGCAACAAAATCAACAACACTAACAACAAAAATGACAATTACAACGAGAATGGCAACGACAACGACAACAACTACAACTACGGTTGCTGTACTAAAGGGTTTTTTTTTAATAAATTTTTTTTTTTTTTTCTTACTGCTATTTCCCTTTGACTACCGATAAATTGAAAACAAAGCGCTTACCCATATTGGCGTATGCGTTGTCCGTGGATTAAATAGCGAAAAAAATGTTTTCGAACAAATTTCTTGATGCGCTCAAGTATTCAATTTTGATTGAATTTTATGCATTGCCTCTGGGTAAAATATTAAAAATTTTAAAAATTTCTTAACTCTCCAAATTTTGCCCCTTTGTCTATCTCTAGGAAGATGAAAACATTATGACCTAAACTTTATTTTACAACAAACGTGCACTGAGATGTTTCGTAGGATGAAAATTAAAATTTTAAAAATGTAATGCGTACTTTTACTTTCTTTACTTGCATAGCTATCGCAAAAACGTGAAAATACTCTATTATTGTGTGCTGAGGTGTTTTTCAATGAAAGTACACACATATATTTGGAATGAGTCTTTTTTATATATTTGCCTCATTGTTTGCCAATCTCTCGGCCATGGTAGCTGAAACATGCACAGAAATATGAGTCACAAGTATTCTCCGTTGCGTTGATATATGAAGTTTAAATAGATTGCTAGCCTTAAGTTAAGGTTTCGCAATAGTTTGATGGCAAAAGACATTTCATAATCTTTTACTTTGCCCTTTTCTTTTAAAATTAATTTATATAAGAAATCTGTCAAGGTCGTTGATTACGTCGCACGGAACAGTTTGTTGATTTGATTTTTCTCATTTCTACTACTGCTTTTATAGCAAACCCCCAGGCGTCAAGAATTACATTTTATTCTTGTTAGTGAATTTTGCTACAGATATTTAAACTCCAATCAATATGCTGCATATAACATCAGTTTTTTGGGTAAACAGCGTAATGTTATTAAAGGGTAAGATGAGTACATCACTGCGCTTAAATTTTCATGCATATCACTGAAAAAATTCGGCTTTCCATTTATAACAACCGAAAACAAGCAACAAAAATTACATTAGAATGGTAGGCGGCTCTAACAACTTACAAAAATAGATTTTTAGATAGTTTTTTTTTTTTTTTTTTGGATGGAAGGAAAAGTAAAGGAATAATAATATTTGAGAATTTATTATAATAAAAAAAAAAGTAGCAACATTAGAGCCACTCTCCCGAGACCCTTTCAATCTAAAGGGCTCTGAAGCCCAGGACAATATTGGTGTAAATTTGACTTTTAAAAAAAATCATTTAATCCAGACGCGAATAGCTAGAGAATCACGTAATACTTTTGAAAGCATTGATTTTGAGTGAAAAAGTTCAATTTTTGCTCAAACACCACAGTTTTATTATTAGGTGCTTGCCTTATTTTTGGCCAACGACTTTTGAGTTATTCAACGTATGCCCATGCTAAGCACGAAAAATTGCATTATTCAGTTCCATAATATCCCAATTGTCAATTTGTATTTCAACGAATTAACAGCGGTAATTTTGATATTCATGACATAGAACGGCCTGAAGGTGACAAGAAGAAGAACCTCGAAAACAATGAATTGCAGGACTTTTTGGACGAGAACCGATTTCAAACTCTTCAGCAACTCTCGAACAGCTTAGCCATTGACAAATTCAATATTTCTAGACCTTTACAGGCGATGGTAAAGATCGAAAGGGAGAAAGAATGGCTATCTCGCAAATTGACTGAACATGACTGATTTTAGCCACTTGTTGCAAGACTTGCCCAGTGATACATTGTTAGAGCTCGAATGGGAACGTCTGGTCCACCAAGCATGGCGCTTTCTTATTACCACTTATTTAGAT